TCCCTCGGCACATCCTCAACAATAAGGTACAACAAGGGATACTGTAGTATTTCAATCAATTCGGCACTGGGCGTGACGCGTGACATGTTCAACCGATTCGTCAGTTCGTCAACCGCCCAGGTGGACCGTGACACACCTGAAAAATTCGGCAGCCTTCCAAAATTTGTCCAAGTGTCAGGGCATGTCTACAGTGTGATTGGAGCGACAGTCCACCAGAGCAAACATCGAATTTGATGAAGCTTGCAAACACCTGGAAATTCAGGTTGGATCCGCAGCGTTTTACCTCTGTGAGCCTGTGTATTACGAGAATTTGAGCATTTTAGAGTCAAAATGCACTCTAGTATAACGCCAAAGCACCTGCGGTGAAGAAAATTTTGGTCTGCAGCTTCTGGAACCAAAATCTGAACCTACCGTGACAAAAAGTCAATTCGTCAAGCCCACCCGTGACCTGTGACATTGACCAAAATTCGGCGCCGTCAGAGCCCTCCGTGATGCGTGACTGCCGAATTGAATGAAATACTACAGTACGCACGGGGCACGCCCACTTGCTCTGCCGGGAGTAGCACGCACGTACTCCCGGCTTCAGAGTCCACGAATAGCACGATACAAAAGGAAAGGGGAGCATTGAGGTGTTGCGCGATAATGAGGTGAGATCCGACAGCGGCGAGCGGCTTCCTATGGCAGTGAGCTACAAGGCGTCGGGAATGGGATATCCAGGGGAGAGTGGCGGGGAAAGGAGGGATAGGAAAAGAGAGAAGGGATCGTGATCGGCAGCGTGAGTCCACATTAAGACGCAGGGAAGCACGGTGACAGTGGTGGGGAAGGGAAGAAGTCGAGGGAAAGAGGGACGTGGGGAGATTATAAGCATTTTCAGCTCGGGTCAAGAACGCGTATTGGAAATATGAGGCGCAGGGCAAGCGAGGTTGTATGCACAGGACAGGTGCAGAAAGGGAAGCGAAGGAGGGCGGAGAGGGCCAGAATTCGCAGGGGTAGTGAGATATACGGAAAGGGAAGTTGTGTAGCGTTGAGAAGGGCGTTCAGTGTATCAGGCTGTGGAATCTCGCTGGTAAATTTCAGCAGTCAATTTTCAACATCTGAGCTCGGAAGCTCCCGAGTCTCAGACTGAGTTGAACAACCTCTGCGGCAAATCACACAGAAAAACTTTGAAGAAAAAAAGAAAAGATGCGCCGCATATAAGAGATGAAAGTGAGTACAATAAGCTGTCGTAGGCCAGGGCGGCCAGCCTCAATCATTGTGTGGATCCTCTACCCCAAAGTTGAACCGGGTGAACGGACTCCGCGGAGGTTCGATCCCTCCCGACGGCATGAGAACGCCGTATCCGTTTTTTCCCTCGCTGAATGATTTGCTTGGATAAAGTTGTTTCAAGGCTCAAGCTTGGAGCTCAAGGCCTTCCAGCATCTGAACTCTCCTCGCCCCGCGCATCGATAGAATTGGTCAAAGGCAGTTCCCTCTCAAAAACTCGCTCATATGGCACTATCTTCGTACTGCCATGATTGCTGACGGTCCAACTCTGTGAGGCCTTGTCTCCCATGCCACACATCCCGGCCCTGTGTAAAAAGTTGTTGGCCTACTCCTATGCCCCGGGCTCGATTCGAACGAGCGTCTCCTGCTAGAACTCTCTTTGCTACTATTCTTTCACTGCGCGCAGGTGCGTACCACCCGCCGCCGAGGCTCAGTCCTCTCGCTTTGAAGCTCGTCTTGGTACAGTCTGTTCCTCTGCCCTCTACCCGCCCAAGAAGGAAAAGAAAAAGAACAATTACGACCGCCGACAAGGGAGGGACAAAAGGCATTTTACAACCCCAAGGCCCGGGCTCGATTCGAACGAGCACCTCCTGCACCATAATCAACATAATCGACACACAATACAATCTGATTCAATGCAGGTCGGACCATCCGCCGCCGAGGCTCATTGTCCTACCTTTGAAGCTCATGTTGGTGCATCCAAATCCCGTAGCGCTGTAGCAACAGGTGAAGAATGCAGAAAAATGTGAATCACCGACAAGATCGAGAGAAAAAAGCATTCGGCAATTTCAAGGCTCGGGCTCGATTCGAACGAGCTCCTCCTGCAAGAATCAGCGAGTCTTCACACACAAGATGCAGATGCGGACCATCCGCCGCTGAGCCTTGTTTATCTGCTCTGAAACTGTGTTGCGTGATGTTGCTTTTACTTCAGCCCCTAGACCGACTACAACAGTAACCAACGTTGTTTAGCGCCGCTACGGACCGAGCCTTATGTACCAGCAGAGGTTCGAATCTCCCTTTTCAGAGAATCACACAATCTCGAGTCACTGGGAGGCAAAAAAAAGGAAAAGAAAAAAAAGAAAAAAAAACCCCCCTTTGTACCTTATCCTAGAGCCTTGGGCTCGATTCGAGCGAGCAGTGTCCTGCACGATAATCACCTGGGAGTTCAACAATTCAATACAGGTGCGTACCATCCGCCGCCGAGGCTCATTCCCGTTCTTTTGGGGTTCAGTACGTTGCATCATGTTGCCCTGTAGAATATCGGTCGCATAAATCAAAGCAAAAGTCAACTTCGGGTCGAAAAACTGTTCTTTTCACCAAAACTTACTTCTCTGTGTTTGACACTCATTGGGGTGCATCCAACGAGACAGAAGAATTGCATGAAATTACCAACAAGAGAGGGAGAAAAAACTAGTCGGCAAACTGCGTGGCCCGGGCTCGAATCGAACAAGCAGCCTCTGCAGGAATCCACAACAACTCAATGAAGAATTCAGTGCAGGTGCGGACCATCCGCCGCCGAGCCTTATTCTTCTGCTTTCGCACCGTGTGGAGTGATATCTGCTTTGCTACTCTGTGGACCGTTCGGCGTGAACGAAAGCTTGTGGAAGCGACAAATGGCCCGAGCTCGATTCGAACGAGCAAGCCCTGCTTACACCCGGGTCTTGATTCCACGGCGCGCAGGTGCGGTCCATCCGCCGCCGAGCCTTGCTAGCTTGCAGTTAAACTGGTACACTCACCTCCGCTCATGGCATTTGAGAGTCCGAGGCGGCCGGTCGAACGCGTCTCTTCGTTGTTTTGTTTCATCCTTTGTCTCTGCGCAAAGCACAAGTGTACTCGTCGAGATGTGAAAGGGAAGGCGGTAGTTCGGTAGGCGATGGTTAGAGACAAGAGAAGGCGCGGAGGTGGGCATCAGTCGGGGGTGCGATATAGGAAGGATAGGGAGAGTGGTGGGGGAGGGAGATGGATAGAAAGGGGGATGAGATACGACGTGGGGAGAAAGTGGTTGCAGGAAGGAGGGTGGAGGGAGGATGAGAACGGTGGAACGAGCAGAATTGGATAGGATTGCAAAAAAGGGAGGAAAAACGCAGACACCAAATTACCTAACCTCCTCAATCGAACCAGGTCTCTCGCGCGGCGGGCCACACGTCGCTCGCCGTTGAGACAGACGCTGCGCCACATGGAACAATTACACGGCAGGTGCAGCGCGTTGGCGACGAAAGCGCCGACGGGGAGTGCCTCCGGAGACTGCCAGCGTTGCAGCGTAAGCATCATAGAGATATACAAGTTCGCAAGGGAACGAGGAGGATAAAGAATGCAAGAGATGAGGGGAGACGGCGGGGGAGGGAGAGGAAGGAGGAAAGGATGAGAAGGGTAAGAAGGAAGGAGACGCACGCACGGTGTTGTGATAGTGGAAGACGAATCATTACGCCGCGTCGACGTTCGTGCGCCCAATATTCAGCTGCATCGGATTACGGGTCAGCGTGAGTTGGGCATTGACAAAGAGGTGGGAGCAGGGAGGAAAGAGGGTTAAGCGATGGAAGTAGACTCAGAGGGAGGGAAGGGAAAGCGAAGGGAAGGGCGAAAGGAGGAGGAGGGAGGAGGGAGAAGAAGGTAGAGGAGACGCACGGAATGTTCGTATACAGCAGCGACTCGGCCGTCGCGTCCATATAGCCAGATTCCTCCCACGAAGAAAGGGAAAGGGGGATGTGGCAGCGGGCCGAAGTGAAGGACGCACCCCGCGTCGCATTTTCTATCGCCCCAAAGCCGCACAAGCCCGAGCCGTCGAAGAACGTCGTGTCGCAGCTGGAGCACGCGATGAGCGGAAGAGACGTCGTCGTCTACGCGGAGCGCCAGGAACGCGAGCAGGTGATCCTTCGCGTGTGTGTCCGTCGTTTTCGTCACGAATCTTCAGAGATCGTGTGGAGAAGCGGAGAGATGGCGCCGCCGCATGTTGTGGTGGAGGAAGACGAGACGGGAGACCGGGAGCAGTTGATTGCTTGCGCATGTGTGCCATCACCCGCCACAGTTTTGATATCTGATCCCGCCGGCTTCTCCCGGTCCGTGGTTGGATTCACAATTGTGGTTCAAGAGGAGAGTGAAGCGATTCGGGAATCAATGGACACTGGCTAACTTCATCTCAAGCCAGCGGAATATCGTTGGTGAAACTTACCAATTGATTTTACTTAAACACCGGTTTGAACTCGGAGCTGCCGATTGGGGCTGGGACGAGCCAGTGTTCAGTCGTGACCATTGGTGATTGTGCAGTGTCGTTCGTTTTTGAAGCATGGGTGAGTGAACGGATCCGTTTGGCCTGTCTCTCGGCTTTGGATCGCAAGCACATCTGCCACAAACCCGTTCCGGGCAGAGAACGGGTTGAAAAACGATCGAAGGAAGGAAGGAACTCTGGGGTATATGACAGCTAGACACAGGTACAGCCAGCTGTCGTGGGCCGCGGACGCCAGCCCGAGCCAGGAGTTTGGACGGCGTCAATTTTTGCGGGGCAGAAGGGGTTCGATTCCCCCAACAGCATGTGGTGTTGAAGATCGAAATTGTTTTGTTCCCATCATTCGGCAGCTCTCAGGCAGGCTGGGCTGAGACGGTATCGCACTGAAAAAGCTTTTGGTACTGACTCCCTGAGTTTGAATACTAATGTCGGATGGACCGTACTCCCTGCCCAACGAGGACAGAGTAGTATAATCCACCCAAGTCAAAAAGAAGAAAAAGTGCATGGAGAACAAGCCGTCGTGGGCCATGGAGGCCACCCCCTTACCATTCCAGAACTTCCCAAAGTGAACGGGGCTAACGGAGGTTCGATTCCTCCCGACGGCATTACGAGTTAAATATTCCTGTTTTTTTTAGGCTCTCGACCCTGACGAGCAGTGCTGGAGAAAGTTCAGTACGATACGGACTGGCAGGAAACCCCAGTAAGGCATGCGAATCCCAGACGCAAATTAAAATCCACATGATCCAGTCCCTCAGTAGGTAGATCATGTTGTCGTAGGCTATGATGCCAGCCCCGCACTATGATGAGTCTATGTACCATGATGGGGGCGGACGGGGGTTCGATTCCTCCCGGCGGTATTCTAACGCCGTGAATTTGTTTTGCTTTGAAGACCAGCTCGATGATCATGCGACGCACTGTTCAGTAATGTGTAACGCCGAAGAACACCCATAGGAATCGACTCAAAACCTGCGACTCGCCTTGCCAGCCACTGAATACGGAGCAGAACCTAAATCAGTCTCACAGTAAATGAATTAAGCCGCCGTAGGCCAAGGAGGCCAGTTCCGATACTTGCTGTGAATTTATCCAGTTGAACGGCACAGCTGGGGGTTCGATTCCTTCCGACGGCATGAGACACCGCCGTATATCCCTTTTTTTGCCCCGCTGAATGGTTTGCGTGGCTAAAGCTCAAGGCCTTCCAGTGTCTGAACTCTCCTCACCCCGCGCATGCGCAAGCGCGAGCGTAAAATTGGTCAAAGGCAGTTTCACCTCAAAAACTCGCTCACGAGGCATTATCTTCGTACTGGCATTATCGCTGACGGTCCACCTCTGTGAGGCATTGTCTTCCAATTCACACATCCCGGCCCTGCGTAAACAGACGACTAGCTAAAGCATTATGCCACGGGCTCGATTCGAACGAGCGTCTTCCTGCAGAATACGGAGATCTCGTCTACTCAATGCAGGTGCGGACCATCCGCCCCGAGGCTTAGTCTTCTTGCTTTGAAGCTCGTCTTGGTGCATCGCGTCTGGTCTCTACCCGCCCAAGAAAGGAAGAAAAGAAACAAAGAATAACAACCGACGAGAGAGGGACAAAAGCATACGTAGAATGCATCGCCCGGGTCGATTTGAACGAGCAACCCCTGCAGGAATCAGTGAATTTTCACACACAAGGTGCAGGTGCGAGCCATCAGCAACCGAGCCTCATTCATCTGCTTTTGAACCTCGTTTGAGTGATCTTGCTTTTACTTCAGCCAATAGACCGACTACAAAAGTAACCGGCCTTGTTAAGCGCCGCTGCGGACCGAGCCTTACCAGTACAGCTTCGAGTCTCCCTTTTCAGACAATCACACAATCTCGAATCACTGGGAGGCAAAAAAAAAAAACACCCTATCGTCGCATACCCCAGAGCCCCAGGCCCGATTCGAACGAGCGTCTCCTGCACGATAGTCGCCTGGGAGTTCAATAATTCAATGCAGGTGCGGACCGTCCACCACCGAGGCTCATTTTTTTCCCCTTGAGTACGCAGCGTGTTGCGCTGGAGAATATCGGGTTCTATATGTTGCATAAGTCAAAGCGCACAAAACTGTTCTTTTCACCCAAATTTACTTCACTGTGTTTGAAGCTCATTGGGGTAGGAGCCAGAAGGATAAGATCGCTAACAAGGGAGGGACAAAAAGCAATCGAAGATCTCCGCATGGCCCGGGCTCGATTCGAACAAGCGTCTCCTGCACGATGGTCGACAGATTCGCAGATTCGATGCAGGTGCGGACCATCCGCCGCCGGGCCTTGTTAGCTAGCCTTTGAACCATGTTGAGGGATACACCATAACATGCGTGCCTGGTTGAAACCGAGTCTGCTGGAATGCCACAAAAGTTGACCGCAAAGTCAATGGCCCTGGCTCGATTCGAACGAGCAACCCCCGCAGGGATAAATGCAGGTGCGGACCATCCGCCCCCGAGGCTTATTAGCGTGCCGTTGAACCGCTGGCAGCAACAGGAGCACTAGTAAAGGCAAGGAGGAGTGTGTGGGGCGGGAAGGATGGAGATACACGAGAGAAGGGAGGGCGGAGTGCGGTGGGGAGATGTACGAGCACGAAGCACGGAGCGTAGAGGGAAGGACGCGTGGGAAGAGAAAGGATGGAAGGGACGGTTGCGGGGCCGGGAGGAACAGGAAAACGGATAGTTGGAGAGAACGCACCAGTTGAATAACCCAACCAAGTCAATCCTCGCCCGCGGGGGGGGGGGGGGCACAGCTCTCTCGCGGTTCAGCCAGACGTTCAGCCACACGGCACGTGCAGTGTGGACGATGACGAAGAGCGCGCCGACTTTGAAGGTTAGGCGGACCTGTGTGTTGCAGCGTAAGCATCTTAAATATATCGGCCAAGTTTGCAAGGGAAGTGGTACAGAGATATTAATCCGCATGGGACCAAGAAGAAGGAGTGTTGCGGAATCTGGAGGAAGAGGGCAAACGATGGGAGAGAGGAAGCGGTGAGAGAGGGAGCGAGAGGGAAGAAGTAAGAAGGGAGACGCACGGTGATGCGATACTGAATCCTCACGCGAAGGACGGTGCTTGAGCCGCTCGTGTACCGTCGACGTTACCGCGCATTGGTAACTGAGGTGAGGCGGCGAGGAAAGAAGGAATGACAATGAAGGAGGGGATAGAAGGAATGGGAAGAGGAGCGCGAGGCGAATAGGCGGAGGTGGAAGAAGAGGATAGAGGAGACACACCAAACATTTGTGTACGCCAGCAGCGCACCGCGTCCATGTAACCAGCTTCTTCCCCAAAGAACAAAAGGAAGAGGGTATCAGATAGCAGGGCGAAAGGAGGAAGGAGGAAGGACGCATCCCACATCGCGTTCTGTATCTCCCCCGGAGAGCCAAAGCCGTCAAAGAATGTCGTACCACAGCCAGAGTACTCGATGAGCGAGTAGGACGTCGTCGTCACGCGGAGCGCCAGGAACGTAAGCACTGGCAGGAAGACGCGTCTCATCCTTCGTGTGGTTTAGATTTGTCGTGAAGGGGGCATCCATGGAGAAGGTATCAGGCTGAGGGCTGCAGGAGGGCGGTTGGGGTGCTCGAGGCGGTCAGGCGGAAGGGTGAAGTGGAAGAAGGGCTCGGCGGCAGGAGTGCCAAGATGCGAGACCGGGAGCAGTGGATTGCGTGCGCATGCTTACCATCACCGGCTGGACTTTTGATATCTGATCCCACCGGCTTCTCCCGGTCTGTGGTTCAATTCTTACGATCGCGGATATTGAAGCGATTCAAAAGTCAGTGAGCACCGTCACGTGGGTGAAAAAAGGGAATGTTGCTAGTTTAATCCAGCGCTCAACATGAATGCCGCACCCAGCCAATCCGAGCTCGGACAGCCTGTGTTGGTTCCGCGTTCAATTTACACTAATCTGAACTGCACCATTGCCTGGACGCAGTCGCGATGAACCGTCAATCAACTGTTGTCTGTATCTTTTTTTTTTCTTGGTGGGTTTGATGACCCCTTGTGGGCCGTGGACCCCAGCCCCAATCATTGTGCCGAAAATCTGATACGAGGGGCAAACGGGGGTTCGATTCCTCCCGACGGCATGATGAAAAATCGGGATCTTTTGCTTCCATCGCTCACCAGCTCTCCAAGATACTTTACTACCTGTTGTACAATACCGCACTGAGAGGAAAGTTCAGAGTAGAAGTGAATTCACGACTGATTGACCCGGAGCAACACACCGGGGGCAAAGCCCGTGGAAGGTGACTGTGATCTTCCGGCAAGGAAGTAGCCCGGAATACACGCGGGAAGGTGCGCAGGCAGGCTCGCCGGCAGCTGCCCGGCAGCAGCTTTTCAAACAGACCACAGCAAGGCCGGCGCCCGGCCCGCGGGCGGTTACCTGGGCGCCTCCCGGTACCGGGCTGCTGTCTGCCGTAGCCAGGTCACGCTGCAGCCACATATGTAACTGCCGGTGTGCTGCCGTCCTGCGTGCCGGCGTGCTTCCGGCGCACCTTCCTGTGCATCTTCCTGCCCGGAAGATACAAATCACCTGCCACGGACTTTGCCCCCGGTGACAATGTCGTTCTCCAGCGTCCAACTTATAGACGGAGTATAATTCAACTCAATGAAGAGAAGAGAAGCCATCGTGGGCCATGGCAGCCATCCACTTACCATTTATGTAGACGAAGGATTCTAAACGGGGCAGACGGAGGTTCGATTCCTCCGAGCATATACAAAACTCGGACGTTACTTACATTCTTGAACCCGGTACATTCCAAGGAAGCACGGTACATTTCCGCGCATGTACCGCCTTTAAGATCAAACCCGGCACTTGCCATATTCGAATGTACCGTGTATCGGCAGAATGAATGGCACGTGTGTTGATCAATGTTGGATCCTCGCTTATGCATCCTGTCTCCTCCCACCACCATCCTTCGCCCCCGACGCGTCGAAAGCGCGTCAAAACACCCCCAGTACCAGACCATGGCCGAAACGCAACCGCGCCGACAAAATATCTTGACAGTGCCCCGGGAAATCTTCAAATACTCAAACATCATAATTGTAGCGACTTCGGTCGCAGAGGGAGGCGGACAGCAAATTTACCGCATCAGGGATTAATTCCGTGAGTTGTTGCCCAATTTCTGTTCAATCTCACACTGAAGGTTACCTGGTAGAGGCTCCCAACTTCGAGTTCTCGAGGGTACTGCTATTGCGGAATTTTTAGATAGTTCTTTTACCGGGCTCGGGGGGGCGGGCGCAAGTTGAGTGTCCGATTTTGTGATATGTTTGACACGTTTGAACGGGGTTGTCTTCAGGGGGTTTACTTCAGGCTTCCAATTGCATACCAGGTGAGTTTACCATCGGGCGGAAACGCGACTTCTACTGATTCATCCCGCCAGTCCGCGGATCCGGGTGCAACTTGTAGTCCGTTCTCGCTTGCACGGCTGCAGACGAAACCCGAGCATTACGGCTCGGTGTGCACATTTTATTACTCCCCCTTCAAGTGTAACCGTCATGACCAGTGGTCACTTGGTACAGCAGCGATAGTCAGTAGCCACCAGCTAAGCCAGGAAATGGCCGGTTCAAACTTCAGAATTAACCGTTCTTTAACGAGATGGTGCGTAAGCTGTGCATTTGCTCCATATAGAGCCATCTCCATTCTCTGCTCTCTGCTCTCGCTCTTGAAAAACGAGGTCATTTACTCCATTAATAGTGGTGCGTGTGGTCTTACTGGGGTCCCTCCCATCTTGCTTCTCTGTCACTGCGGCCTGCGCAACCTTCGCCGAATGGCCACGCAATGCGCCGAAACTTTCAACCACGGCAATTGTGCCCACTGTTCTCGTTTTAGCTGCAGCGCAGCATGAAATCTCGACGGATTGGGCAGACACAGCCCACTCTTGAGTCAGTCTACACGACGATTAGCCCAGTCATCTCAATGGGTTTGAGTGCAGCTGACCTTTTCGCAGTTCTCGACGCAGTACTTTTCTCCGAGGAATTTCCACTATAAATGGACGGACGTCTTCATAGATGTTACGGGCACTCACCGCCTTTTCTTACCCATGCTTTTCTCCTCAAACGGTCTCCCGCGAGCAGACTACTAGAACAACCACATCAAAACATCCTTCAAAAGCTGTTCACGCTCCCCGAAATGTTCTCGCACCGGATAGCTGCTTCCCTCGAGCGGATTCAACCTGACCTGCGCTTTTCGGGCACCGTAAAATCCTTCTCTCTCGGGGCCATTTCGGGTTCAAACATCTCCATCTCCAATTTACACGGCCCGTTCAGCTGATTCAACTGCGAGATTCCCTAACCCTTCCGCTTGCCCCTCCCACACTCGAGCTGGCTGGTTGAACGTGTCTCAATTACAACGTGGATCTGCAGCTCACTTGCTGCGCTGCAACTTATCCATACACAACCACAGTCTTGCCTGTACTGCTTCATTGTCCCATATTCTCCCCTATTTGAATTGCTCGTGAAACACTTCTGGCGTCTCTCGCTCCACACACCCTCCGGAAACAAATGGGAGAGCCCACTTGCAGTTACGTGGTCAATCTGTGTTGATCTTCATTTCTCTTAATATTCAAGCCAGGCAACTATCGGTGACGATTCAAAGTGACTCAGACGCTACCTAGGACTCTCCCCACGAGTCGTAAAATATTTGAGTCTAATACATTATCTGTGTATAAAAAACTGCCGGAGCGAAGCGGCGGCATGTCTTGTATAACTTGCTTTTGTCGCGTCGCATGCGCCGTGCTGTAAGTTTTAATGCTTGTCGAAGCCCTAATGCACGAAAAGGTGAAACTATAAGCCGGAAAGTTCGAACCATGAGAGACAAAAAGTTATGCGCACGACATATCGTGGGCGCGGGAAGCTTAACCCGGGCTGAAGCCGAGCGCGGCAGAGACCCGAGACACGGTACATGGTGAGCACCAGAATGTACCGTGTTTTCGACAAACCCGGCACATGCCCCTCAAATGTGCCGGGGTTGCGGCGAATGTACCGTGCATGCGGCGCAATGTACAGTAGA